CAGGCAGTATTTATAATATAGGAAATTCAAATAATTCGTTTTCTGACATATGGGAATAAATTGCCTAACTGTTTGACACTTAATGTCAAAGGAAGCTAGATAAAATCAAGAAAAAATTACGTTTTCAAACTAAATCTTAAATAACTTAAAAACGATTTATTTTAGGTATAGGAATATTATACTCAAAAAGTAACGAAATGGAAAATATTTTCACTAGTAAAATAAAAAAGTGGGTTTACGTTTGAAAAAAATGATTTATGATAATTTTTTAATTCGTTCAATTCACCGTTCAATTCCATAACAGCTACCGCCATTATTATATGACATTTGAACAATTTAATTTTTGAAATAGATATCCATATGTCTTCTCTTTATGCCATAGTGGCTGTGATAATCACTAAATGTGACTTTTAGGCTATACAAATTTTTTTGACAGGTAGTTTTTTTCGTCCAGAAATTTTAAATATTTTTTTTTCTCAAAAACGGTTAATGCTAGGTATAGAGTGTTTAATATCAATATTTATAGAATTTTAGAGAGAATGTAAGTGTGTAATAAAAATGGGGGCACCCCTTTAAAATAAGAAAGTTGCTGTCAACTTCCGTATTTCCCGAAGTGCCGCCATATTGAAAATATTTTTAATCGATAGATCTCGTTCTAAATCAATGATGTGCAAAAAATCTCCGATCTAGATATTGCGCTTCTCTAGAAACTTCTAATGCACGCTCAGCCTGGGACACCCTGTATACTGGTAATTAAAACCATAGGCTATAGCGAGAGATAAATAATATCTGCTTGTATTCTATGGTGTGTGTCAAATTTAAATCTAATTTTAAAAATTATAAAAGATAACAAATTGCTAATGGACAAAATAATATTGATATTATAGTAAGTATGTATAATATTAAGTTTTAATGCCTCTCCATTTATATATAAAACATTAAAAAATGGTAATCAGGAAACAGGGCCCCATTTATATAGTAATTGTGATCTTCGGCTGATATGTTTCAATATGACAATTATTATAAAATGTGTGTTCATCCAACTATGCATGTATGAAAAATTAAAAAAAATATATTAAATTATTATGGTCTGTGAGATGAAGTAGTGCGCAACACAATGAGTGCCGCAGTTGGAACTATGATTGGATTATCTATGTTAGCTGCTGGAGCTTTATATGTTTCTTTCAGTAAGTCGCTATATTTAATTATGGTAATATTGTTAATAAATATGTTCTGAAACTAGATATTTCATTATACAGTATCTCCCCGGATTGGCTTTACAAGAGGAACACTCTTTTATTATTGACATTTTGAGAAAATGCATTCTTCATAAAAAATTTTGTTTGTTCTAAAATGGTCAATCCCATTTATACTTTTCCAAATTTCCATACCGTTTTAGTTTTATCTTTACATAATATGTTTCGGCTTGTCAGGTCTTTTTCTGGATATTCTTAAAACTAACAGTCTAACTACAGTATAATGAAAATTACTACAGTATTACTACTTACTACAGTATAATTAATTATTAAATAGAAAATGTGTTAAAAAATTCTTGTTCTGATTTTAATATTTTATAGTTGTTCGAGGTAATTTAGGCGTCTGTCTTTTGATTCTCTATGTAGTAATTTAAATTGAATTAATATAAATTTTGTTACTATTTAATATCCAGTGTGTTGCTACACTGCATACTTTTTATATGCTCTTTAAATCTTATATTTAATTTAAAAATTTATTTACTTACCAGTTTAGCCTATGTACAGGGTGGGTCAAATTCGACGCTTTTAAATGGAAACACCCTTTTCTATAGGAGATAGACGAAACCTAATATCGGTGTCTGGAGCTTAATTTTCATCAAAAATATGATGGTGAAAACCGCACATCAATATCTGTTACCGTTTCGGAGTTACGGGGTGTTTTTCAAAAATGTGCATTTTTAACAAATCGCTGTAACTTTTTTGCTATCGAAAATTTTGTATTTCTATAAAAACATTTCCAAAGCACCTTTTTACCTAGAATTTAATGGTTTAAGTATATTTTTTTTAAAATTAATAATTTAAGAGTTATCAACAGAAAAATTGATTTTTTATTTGGGACACCCTCTATATTTTTAATTAACGGAAAAGAACTTAAAATTACCTTTCCAAAAATATAGCACACTTGATAATTTGTTATAATCTCTTCCGAAATACAGAATTTTTAAAAGTTCGCCACTTTTAACTAGTAGGCTTTGGACCCTTTATTGATGATATGCCCTTAATGGAACTGAAAAACATATTTTTCCAGCAACACGACGCACCGCCTCTGATCGCTGAAGTTATCAGCAAATTTTTGCATCCAATTTCAAGAATAATTGAATAGCCAACCAAGATTCCAGCCGTTGGCCGTCGAGGCCGCCTGACTTAGTGCCCATGGATCTAATCCTATCGATATATTTGCGGAAAAATAAAGGTTCCTTATTCTTCCGTATAATCTAGACAAGAATTAGAAATACTTAACAGTTATGAGAGGGTATCTTTCACCCCCACTGAGTTAATGAATTCCGAGAGAAATGTTCAAAAACTGCCCCGTCTGTCCATAACAGAAGACGGTCGATATGTCGAACACCTATAGCAAAATCTCATGTCTTGGTTTGCTATTTATTTTTCTTGTTATTAGATATAGTTTAAATGTGTTGATGTTGATTAAATATATTTTAAATAGTTATAAAATTCTGCATCTCTCATAGCAAATATTATTTTCGTATTAATTCATGCTCACAGCTAGATTTTTTTGTATTACAGCCGGTGCCGTTCAAAGCCTACTCATTTAGAGCGGGCGAATTTTTATATACTCTATATCTCGAAGAGGAATCGAGCAAAATATCAAGTGTGTTATATTTTTCGAAAGGTAATTTTAAATTATTTTCAATAAATTAAAAATACACAGGGTGTCCCATATAAAAAATCAAATTTTCTGTTGATAATTCTTAAATTATTGATTTTAAAAAAATTATACTTAAACCATTAAATTATACGTAAAAAGGTGCTTTGGAAATATTTTCATAAAAATACAAAATTTTCCATAACAAAAAAGTTACAGCGATTTGTTAAAAGTGCATATTTTTGAAAAACACCCCTTAACTCCGAAACGGTAACAGACATCGATATGCGGTTTTCACTATCATGTTTTTGACAAAAATTGAGCTCCAGACACCGATATTAGTTTTCGTCTATCTCCTATAGAAAAGGGTGTTTCCATTTAAAAGCGTCGAATTTGACCCACCCTGTACAGGATGTTTCATTTTGGTTGAAATCATACGGTATCTCCGTTATTAGTGAAGATAGAAAGGTGCGGTTTGCACATCCTGTCCCATTTTTTTTCCAACACGGAAGATGCCATAAAATTTTTTATTGCTTCCTTAAATGTATACAGGGGTATCAAAAATTGCTGGTCTGTTTTAAATATTTATTTTAAAATAAGTCGATTTAAGAGCTCTTTTAAACTATATTTTTTATAGTTTGAAAGGTTTTGATAGGTATTGGTTTTCTATACCTATCTGGCTCAGATTTTGAATAAAAAGCGATTTTTCAATAAAATGGCAATCAAGATGGCTGGTGTCGCCATGGCAATTTGTTAGTGACAGTTAGTAGCTATTTTCAAAATCTACATTAGTTTATGGACTTTATATAAATTTGTAACAGTTTACTTTTATTTAATTAAAGGCTCATTTACATTATTTGTCACTTTGGATGTACAACATGGATGAATCATCCAAAGTGATAAGTATAAATTGCCTTTCATCACTGTTTCATCCAAAGTGTACACTAAAATTGAACGATAAAACAAGTTGACGGTCTTCTTACTTTTGTTGAAAGAAGCGTTCAACAACCGTTGATTCATCCATATTGAACGGCAAGTGAAAAATATAAACAGCCGACGCCGACCCGTGCGGCCAACCTCGATATAGAAAACACTGGGAGAGGTGGCAGCTTGCGGAAGATGAAACAGTAAACTGCTGCGAACTGGATGAAAATATGTAAACAAGGATGTTCAATTTGGATGAATTCGATCTGAGTGATTTATTTTGGTTGTACATCCAAAGTGACACAGTGTAAACTCTGCTTTACCTTAAGGTTAATAAGTAAGTATTTATTAACTTTATCAAAAAAAAATAAAGAATTACTTCTTTGATTTATAGTGCGATGACTTGTAGATATCTAAATTGGATTTTCAAAAAAAAAAAAACAATTAAGATAAATTCATTTTCTTCACTTCCAACGACAGGTTGCTGCCTAATAGGTTTTTCATCTACCACAATATCAGCTCTGCAAAATAGGAAAAGTAGTTTTTCAAAGGAACTCTTGTCAAAAAATAATCCTATTTGGATATCTTTGAGCATAAACCCTTCAGGCCAACAAGCAATTGTCCCCACAAAATAAAATTATTAGTAACATATCCATTCCTTCTGCCGACGGATAATGCTTAATTTTTCTTGATAAAATAATAAATACTTACAGTATGTCTGTCCGTTCTGTAGCTCCGGGGTATCCGTGAGAGGGGAAACGATATTTTCTCGATGTTTTTCGTAAAAAATTAGACGACGCGTCCCGTCAATAAAAATTCGACAAATTTGCAAGTAGCCAATAAAGTGAGTGGGCGGAGCGATTTGCGGTGATGTACTCGTTAAGTCGACGTATAAAATGTATTGCTGTTTATTTAAATGTTTTTTGTCCGCATTCCTTTCATAGACACAGATCCAGCAGACGAACTGTACAGGGTGTCCCATTTTGGTTGAAATCATACGGAATCTCTGTTATTAGTGAAGATAGAAGGGTGCGGTTTGCACAAACCTGTATCACTTTTTTGTCAAACGGAAGATGCCGTAAACAAAATTTTCATAGCCCTCTTCTTTTCCGAGCTACAGGGTCTTTTTGAAAGTTTTGCAATTTGAGACACCCCCCGTATCTCTGTTATGGTTAAAGGTATCGAGAAGGTGAAAACTGTTTATTGTAGAACTTTTTACGTAGAATACAGTGGCGTAGTCTGGTTTTCTGCCAAAAAATATTTTTAAAAGTATGAACTAAAGTTATGTTTTTTTTAAATGGAACACCCTGTATATTTATAAATCATATGATGTGTCTTGCCATAAGCTTCTCAAAAATATATAACACTCTATATTTATTTTCACTATTTACTGCAATATTTAAAAGTTTTTATTAAAAGATCATATTTATTAGTAGGCCATGATTGATAATAAAAAAAAACTAAAGAATTATTAAAAGTATACTGCTATCTGTCTCTTGTTTTATTTTGAGAGCCGCTACTAAATTCTTTATATATTAGGGAAACTTAACTTCCTACCGCTATTTGTAAATCGTGGAATACGTGTATACGTACGAATAATCTATCGTATCGGAAATGTTAGATATTCCTTTAGCTAATTTACGTGAAATATACTTTCAGCAAGATGGGGAACATAACTCATAAAAATATTAGAATACTGTTAAATTATTATTTTTCAAATCAATGAATTGGAACCAATGAACACATATTTATAGCCTCCTCGATTCCCGGATTTTTCCATTCTCGATTTCTGATTTTGAGGATTTTTGAAATACGAAATATATCGTGGGCACTACAACAATGTCGAACACCTGAAAAATGCTTTAATAATTCAAGCTTTTAGATATTTGCAAACCCATTCCGTTATAAAAAAAAGAAAAATATATTCACAGGTTCAGTGGTAACAGTTATTTCAAAAGTAAAATATATCAATCCCAAATAAATTTTAATATGTGTATGACTACTTTAGTAAATATTATTTTGATTTTTTGTTATTTATCACGGCCTACTAATAAGAAAATGATATATTTTAAATATTGCAGTAAATAGTGAAAATAAATATAGAGTGATATATATTTTTGAGAAGACAGATCATATGATTTATAAATATACAGGGTGTTCCATTTGAAAAAACATAACTTTAGTTCATATTTTCAAAAATATTTTTTTGATAGTAAAACAGACTACGCCACTGTATTCTACGTAAAAAGTTCTACAATAAGCAGTTTTCGCCTTCTCGATACCTTTAACAATAACAGAGATACAGGGGGTGCCCCAAATTGCAACATTTTCGAAAAGACCCTGTAGCTCAGAAACTAAGAGGGCTATGAAAATTTTGTTTGCAGCATTTTCCGTTTCACGAAAA